CAATAATAGTGGACAAAAAGTGGGTATTATAAATGGTGGCTATGTGTATGACTGTGATTAATACAAAACTTATTCACTATTGTAATCAGTTTTTGATTTTCAATATTTGAATCCTTTATAATAATTTTCAATGAATATTCAATTGATAAAACACTCAAACCTTTATTAATCGATGAAAACATATATTATGAATAATAAAATTTGCGGAGTAATCAACAAATTTAAAGAAAAATTTAATAAATAGTCAGAATTTAATCAAACGAGTATTTATATAAACAAATATTCATATCAAATTATTATAAATTAATATTTTTGAAAATCAAAAACTGATTTAATTAATGAATGTGTATTGTATGAATCACATGGATACGCTTAGCCTATTTTTAAAAACCCACTTTTTATCCATATTTATTGCATTCCTATCAGGTAAAGAAATTAATTTCCGGACTGTACCTTGATCAGTAAAAATTCGTTTATTCATTAACTAAAAAATTTAAAATTAATCTGCATAAACCCCAACTATGGAATTTAACATTTATATAAAAGGTCACCAAAACTAAATAGATGAACGCAATTAAATGTAACGCCATTTATTCTANTATAAAAGGTCACCAAAACTAAATAGATGAACGCAATTAAATGTAACGCCATTTATTCTAATCTACACTAACTAGTCTACAATAATTAACAACCACAAGGTCCATCTGACTCAGCATTTTGAAATGAGAAGATAAGATAAAAATTCCACGGACTTTCTGATTCACCTAATATATATTAGAAATAAATGAATTAATCATAATTTTGCGTGTAATAACGCAATTCTTATCTATAACTTTGAAAAAAGTTAGTATATTATGGGAATGTACCAGGTGCAAATATTATTGCTTAATGCTTTTAATGAAAGATGTTTGATATTAAAATTAGATTTGCCGTTAACCTCAAACAAACAATGATTTTATTTCATATTTTTATACATGTATATCTCAATCTCTGAATAAATGATCACATGCTTTTATTATGCTAATTTTATATTATAATATCACACAATTACAATGTATGGTTTCATATGTAATACTGTAGGGGAATTAATCATAATTTTGCGTGTTATGACGCAATTGAATTTTATAATTATAAATATTATAAGCATATAAATATAATTTTGACATTGTAATAACATTCAGTGCAGCATTCATTGTTGCCAATATCAATATTCTATACACATTCCTTATATAACAAGTTTTATCCTTGCTATTTATAATATAATTGCCTAATTATATTCAAATAATGATGAAAATAACAAAATTGCATACAAAACACTGGTTAGATAAGAGTCGCGCGACCATAGGGTTAAGGCATGAGATGGAAAAGTTGGAGTCATTTATGGCTTTCAATTACATCACTATTGCTAAAAGTGCGGACGAGTACGTACTTGCGGACTGCCCCTTGAGTCAGGAAAGTTGGCGCATATTTACCAATGGAAATGGTCGACGTTATGCCACGTGTGTAATGTTACGGTTAGTGTTTCTATTAAGTCATATAAGATATTTTCTGATTGTCCTGATCACTGATCGTTACGTACTGGACGTACTACTTGATTGGCCCCATATTAAAGTGCAGCATCAGTTGTTTTTGGCAGTGGGAATTATGTTTATTGGTATAAATTTTTTTACCTTGTTAGTGTTCTACCAAGAATATCACCATAACTTTAAAGTGTTTGATTTTATCTATAAATTAAAATATGGATTGTTTAAATTCGAACTTGGCCATAGACAAATTAACAAGTTGGTCAATATATGTGGTATATTTAATAAATATATATTTTACCAAGTTTATATTCTGTGTGTAAATATCACTACAATTTTCCATGCTTTTTGTTGTTATGTAGTTTATTTAATAAGACCCTCACTTTGGAAATGGATGATCATGATGATTTATGATATAAACGCGTTATTTTGTGCCATGATAAGTTTCGGCATTGTTTTAGTGGGGTTTATGGTGTGGTTAATATCAGCGTATTATATGAAATACAAATTCCTTGAAATCTATGGTAAGATAGCATTGAGTGTTAAATACGATAACAAACGGCTATTAATGGCGGCTATTGTTGAACACCATTACTGGGAACGACAGGTCAGGGATTGTAATGAGTTTTGCAAATATGCTATATTTGTAATCTATTTTACCTCGACTATCGGTATGCAATTATCAGTGTACCTAACACATCACCCTGATACTGATTTAGCCATCAGAATTTGTTTTATTGTTATAATAATATTATCATTCTATTGTGTGGTATTCATGAACGTTATGAGCACCTGGATCTCATCGGCCGCCCATAGGCCATACGCACTGGTTTTGTCGTTTATATCTACTCGTAGACGAGTGCTATCAGCGAGGGATAGACTAAAAGTGATGACATTTATTGAACGCCTGTCCACTGGACCGACAATCGGTTACTATTGCTATGATTTGTTTCCTATGAATAGCTATGAGTTGTATCAATACGTATACATCGCTGGTGTAAACTATTTCTTAATTATGTCATTGTTTTAAATTATTATTTAATTAAAACAATATATTCTAAACTAGGTTAAAATTTTTATTATTAATTAATTTGAATATAATTTTTTTAATGTAATAGTATCTATATTATATTTTTATTCATTGTTGTAAATGTCTATGTTCTATTCTATCAGGGACATTTAATGATACTTATAAGGGATGATTCACATATTACGTTCGCATTTGGGGGAGGGGGGGTCGGCCAAAGCGAACTTTTACGAACGAGAGGGGGGAAGGGGGTTGAGACTTTAAGAACGTTCGCACTTAAATAATTAAAAAGACTAATTTTTATCAAAGTTAATATTTTAAAACAACTGATTGATAACTTTGAATGAATAAATGAACTTCGAATAAATTTATTTCTAGTTTATGAACGATATTTTGAAAGTGAAAATGATTTTTTAAAACATCACAAATATCACAACTGAAATCATACCTATCGCCGACAACACGACCACCTATAGAGCACTATTCTTAAAATTATTATCTATTACCACACTCTTAAGACATTAAAAAATAATTTGACTATACCATTTTGTTAATTTATACTGGGTTTTACAATACTGTACATGTGCGATATTTTATATACAATTTAGTGCGATATTTAACTTTGAAATTAATTTTACTTATTCAGTACAAACATAAAGCAATATAATATATTTTTAAATTGTGATAGCAAATTGAATTCACAAGTAACTCTTAAGATTGAGTTACACAAATCAATTGTCCACAAGTCTTATTTTATTAAAATTGTATTCAAAAGAAATCACATTAACATTTATTACAAAACAATGATTCAGTAAAAAATATATTCAAATATAAATATCATTGAATGAGTTAAAAGTCATGTCAGTCGTAGTGAATGAGTTGCTTGTATTGAATTTGTGAGCCAATGGACAGCCCCCATGTAATTATACATACACACGTACGTGCATAATACAGTATAGTATATTATATAATATTCTGTGTATTCATCGGTATATGGATGTATAGATTAGTTATTGTTTTGTGTGTTCAATGTTTGCGGGACATTGAGATGCTTTTTGGGAAATTTGCATGAACCGAGTCTACATGAGCAATTGTCCGATGATATACCGATCCTACGGCAGTACTCTTTGCACTGTCTGTCTCTGCCATTGCGGATACACTCGTGTCCCGGACTGAACCAATACGGAAAGTACTCACCTGTCGCTGCATTTCCGCCGTATCCTTCCTCTGCAAACACATATTCATTGTATTTTAGTTTTTTCTCATTACTTCATGCGATTTGTCTATCAATTTGTGACTTATTTTTAATAGAAATCATACATCAATTCTGTGGTACAGTCGCGCCAAATACCTGATCCCATAAATCCAATGAACTAATTGTGAAACTTATGAGAAAATTATGACAATGTCTTTAAGGACATTTGATCTGGAAATGTCCTTTTTTACCTAAACATGTGTTTAATAGATTATAAATAATCTCACTAACATCTAGATTAGCTAATAGTTATTATATAGTATACTACTTTAGTATAACTTTAAAGTATCTAATGATTACCCTATCATCAGATTTATTGGATCAGATGCCACTGTCGTAGAGATTATATAGATTAAGAAAAGCCATAAACTGTACAATTGTCGCACAAATTGCTGGTATGACTACTCACTGGTATCGCTGCACAGACAGACCCGTCGGTTGACGGGATTAGTGCCGTCTATGTTAGGGCTCTCGTCGACGGTTATTGTCTTACAGACGCTATCGTTGAATCCTTTGGCGCTACAGAATGTCGTGCATTCGAATGAGTTATGGCTGGTATTTCACCTGGATGCATGTCAATTAATTGTTTGTTTATTGACATTATTCATTTTATGAGTTAGAAAGTCATAAATTATGGTTTCAAAATCAAAGTAATGGCATGCAGCTCAAGATTTGTTGTTATTATTATATACCATGTGCTAGTCTATAACTCTAATATACTTTTACGGTTATTAAATGTTATTGTAGTCTCTTATAAAACATAATATATTTTATTTGTTAAACTATTCTCTCTCTCTCTCTCTCGCAAGTAATTAATAGGAAAAATAAATTTAATTTATTAGTTTAACATTTAACATTTATATGTATATTCGTGATTCCTTTACAAAACATTATTTTTTAAACATTCGGGGCCCACACCCAAAGACCACAGGCCGTCCTCGAGGCAAAGGCGCGCTTCGTCACCGACCAATCGGTAGCCATCATCGCACGAGAACCTGACAATGGTACCTGGCCAATACGTGTTCTCAGACTTTTCACCATTCAGGGGCCGAGGTAGGGCCGGGCATCGGATGTCTGTAAGTGAAACACACATATAATTAACATCTGCCGTCTGAATGGACGGGTATATTGTCTCACATGTCCTATTAGCCTCATTGGCCAGGTACAGTGCGTAG